GAACCCATTCTGTCCCAGAATGTGCACCATAATCTATCCCACAGGCTGGAACTTTAATATTAAATGCCCCACGTCCAACAAAGAGCCCCATTTTAAACAGATCTCCCAGTCCTTACCTCTAAGCTATTCCAGTCGGATTCTATTTTTGACTCAAAGACCCCCACGGACAGCCGGATCAGCATTTCCTCTGTTTCAGGGATAAATCACCAGATTTCTGGATGGCAGGAAAGAATACCTCCTGAAGCCTGTGAATCAGACCCCCGATGGGAGTGTATGTTTATATTCATGTGTCATTGTATGTTTTTCAGGACGTTATCAGGCCTTGTTTAAAATCATACAAAACTCACACAGTCAATGATGAAAAACAAGGGGGAAAGAGAAGGGTGAGAATAAAATCTTCAGACAGCTCTGACACCGTTGTGCGTTCAAGGCACAGCTTTGTCAAAATTCCCTCAGTTCAAGGGCAAAGCTGCCGCAAATCTCCCCAGCTGAAGAGAAAGACACAAAACGACTTAAAAGAGAGAATTGAGGGAGTTCATCCCGCGTGTTTAACAGGAGCACAAGTCTATCTCAACTATAAGCCAGTGTCAAGCTACAGGCTGTGTGAAGACAGGGACTTCCACACAAAGAGTGGGGTGTGACATAATGAAAGCGCTTAATGCTGTTCCCAAAGGGAGACAAAAACAAAATGACAATTAAAAAAGAAAAAAAATCACAGCACAGCAACGGGTGGGATGGTTTGTCAGTGATGATCCATTAAATAAACCACCCAGTCACACCAAAACTAATAACACCACAGAGCCTGCAGCAATGTCATCTGCACTGTTTATTCCATCATGATGGATGGAAATATGCTGTGTTAAAAACACCTACATGCATTTAGCATGACGTCAAAAGCTGCTGGGAAATGCCCACTGTATGTCACAACCGGGTTGTTGGATTCTTAATAAGCCAGACACAGGAGTGCAAAAACAAGACATTTTTTATTTATTATTGGCTGTGAAGTCAGGATCAGCTGCAGTGAAAGGGCTTCACAGGCAGGTGAAGAGTGAGAATCACCTGTCAAGTCTGCAGCGATGATGTCACTGGACCTGGTGCAGAGCAGGTGTGGAGAAAAGCTGCAATAACTTGATTCAAGGGAAAAATCCAATAATGGGGTCTGGTTGTTGAAGCAGGGGTCATGAACAGGAAGGCAGAGAGCAGAAACCAGAGCCAAGTCGTGATCCGTGAGGTGTAGTCGTGGTAATCAGAAACAGGGTCGGTACAGTGGTCAGAAAACAGAGTCCAAAACCAGACGAGGAGTAGTCAAAAATAGGGAATCCAAAAGGCGTGAGGTCAAAAATCCAGAGAACAAGGCGTGAACGTCAGACATGAACAAGAACAAGAATGGCTTGATATCAGGGACCATGGAAGGTTTAATAATTCAGCAACAAGTGAGTGAGAGACAGGAACTTTAATAGTGAGTGGAATCAGGGATGACTGCTGTGAGAAACAACAGAGATGTAGCATGGCTTGGAAGGAGCAGGATTGAGCTGGAGATGGGTGATGGGCAACTCAAAGCAGGGGAGGAGAAACAGGGGACGTGCACATGTCATGAAGGGACAGAGATGTGAGCAGATGGGGTACCAGCGGGGGCCACTGATCATGACACTGCAGGGCAAAACACGTCCAGTTCTCCCAGCTATGGTCACATGAATAGCCTTCTGGGCCACAGCCATGTGACTTTTATTACTTCACTGCATTAACACTAAACAACGTGTAGATTGTACAATATGCTTTATTTACGTATTAACGAGCATACAGCAACTGGTTAGAGCTGTTGTCCTCCAATGGGAGAGTCGGGGGTCCGATTCCTCCAGCAGATGTTGAAGTGTCCCTGGGCTAGACACTGAACCCCTCATTGCCTCTGATGTGTGTCCCATCGGTGTATGAATGTGATAAAGCACTGATTATTCTTTGTAGAGATCTAGTAGAGTGCTGTATGAATGGGTAAATGAAGACATAAATTGTAGTGTAAAGCACTTTGAGTATCTTGATAAGATTTGTATGGTGCTATATAAGTACAGTCCATTTACCATTTACGTTACACGTTGTGTACGAGCTGTTTGAGGTGCAAATTTCACCTGTTCGTGTCCCTCGTGGTCCACTGCACTTTGTGTCAGTTTGAGTCGCGTCTCTCGTCATTGGCTGTTCAGAAACAGGACTTCATCCCTTTGGCATTAGGGGGGTGGGGGGCTACCAGAGTTTTACAGACTGTTTTTCTGCTTCAATTTTTTGTGTTGTATTGCAGAAACTTTTACATGAACAATATCTAGACATCACATCCGAGGTCCACATAAAACTTTTATTATATAGCGTTGATCCTGTTGACCACATTGTTATTACATCTGATATAATAGTGTTTAATGTTTTTTTTATGTGACTTAAGTTAACTATATGTAATTAAAAAAAATTTATTTGTTGACTGGTAAAGACTCCTAAATGGCCAAACCAAAATAATGTGCATTTTTTCTTATGAGAATAGTCAGAGTCAAGCAATGATTAGCTAAAGGAACTGGACATAAGCTTCTCTGAAAACCAAGTTTTGACCAAAAATGGTATAAAATCATTCACTTAAATCTTTGCTGCTCATTCAGATAAAAGCTATGTGTGTTTTTGCCTAATAAATTCAGCTAGTTTAAATTTTATCCTGTTTTTTGAATTGTGTCTGAGGTTTCTCTGTTTTGTAAAGTGGTATGTAAAGTTTTCAAACAGAATACCCATGAATACAATATTTCCTTAAGTAAAACCTTTTGATAACTAACGCATTTTAAAAACACAAGAATAACACACAGCCCTGGACTAAATGTGCAACATAGCACAAACCGTTTATAAAATTTACAACTATCCATGAGTGGGTTATATTTCCTCTCAGCGATCATGACGCTGGGAGAAGATGAAGATGCCTTTTAAGAAAGGCTTGTGACTGTAGAAGTGAATGGTATGAAATTTATGATTGAAACAGCCCGTCTAGTCAACATGATCAGCAGCAAATAATACACACTTTGGGAACATCTGTAAATGTAATTATATTATTACACTGACAGGATGTCATCCTGTCAGTGCAAGATAAATGACAAAACAACAAATTGAGTAAATATAACTGAAAAACATCATCCTTTGCTACATTATGACACCAAGCTTTAAGGCATCATACCTTCAATGAAATGCAAAAACACCTTAACAGCAGTGAACATGACTTGCTTCTCTGCTGCTATTTCAGGAAACCAGGCTACACAAAGCTTCACGTCATGGTGGAAATATATTCTTTATTTTAGTCTAATTCCCCTGGGAGCTATACCTGCAGTTTATAAGAACACAAGAAGGAGGATAAGATCCTCACGCTAACCAAAGATGGGGGGGGGGGGTATTTGACAAGGAAACTGAGGAAAAGAAGCATGTCACACAAAAAAACTGCTCTTTTTAATTGATGATTTGAACGACATAAAAGAGAAGGTTCACACAACATGAGTCACCTGTAAATGGACATGTACTGTAAACGATTCTGAAATCAAATTTATTGCTATAGTCCACACTTTATCCGCTGTTCCTAACCTTGACCTTTGACCTTTGTGTTGAAGAGGCTTTTCTCCATTAACACGATGAACTAATGCTGTTTGTCCATTCGCAAGTCTCACCACAACTTGTTTCTACTCGGTTCTAGACGGTGGTTTTCAATACGAGTGCCACCTGTGGGAGGGATCGTCACAGCAGGCTGCTCAACAACAGCGTTATGCTCAAAATGTCCACATTCAAAGGGAGATTAACATCCAACCATGGGCAAATAAGTGAAATAAAGTCAAAAAACACTTCCCATCCTCTGCCATGAAAATGTCATGGATGAGTCGAGGCTAACTTCCCTCTGTCTGAACTTGTACATCGAGTTCATTTGGTCTAGCTTCCTCTGATTTCTGTCACTCAACAAGCACAAAAACCTCTACACCTCCTCATGAGACCACAGTGTTAAAGTGTTGACATTTTAAAAGATATAGTATATGTTTTATAAAAGCACATAACTAAAAGGAATAGTGCAGCCGTGAGGTTTTTAAAAGGTGGGTTTGATTCTTGTGAAGGAGGCGCTCATGAAAGATGTTGCTCTCTGGCCAATCAATGGCCTGCAGTCTGCTGAAGTTAAACCTTCTGCTCAACTCGACTCACTTGGAAACTCCTCCAAGAAGGTCCTAAGAACCGAGCTGAAGCAGGGAATGCTGAACCTGCGTCGAGTCGAACACAAAAATGGACAGAGATGACTTAGGTGACTGCAAATTGAGATTCACTCTCAACTCCTTCTAAATGAACCTTCGCCTCACAACTAAGCACACTTTCCTTCAGTGCATTCCTCTAGAGACGCAGGCGTGAGTTCAAAATTAGCTGAGCTGCAACTGCAGAAACACGCACATCATCAGAGTGCTGTCAGTTTTTACATGGATGGCTGCTTCACATTTCCCAGCAGCTCTGAGGGCTGATATATGAAAAATAATCCAACAAGTCACCATCCAGATCTTCTTCTGAGGTAAACACTATCAATTTTGTATTTCTCAACAGGGTCTAGCTCCACAGCACAAATTACTACAGGATGGAGCACAACAGGGATTGTTTAGTGAGACCAAAAACTCAGAGGGAACAATCATATTCCTCTGGTTTTAACCTAACAGAACATGTGGAGACCAGTCCTTGTTATGTCGCATGCATGCACTCCTGCACGTCCAGAGGAATTCCATTCCTTAACTTTACAAACGCAATACTGCACTAATAAAACGCGGCTTGGTGCATGAACTGAAGTTCTTTGAGACCATCTCCAAATTAGGTGACAGCGGTTTGTTTTCCTTTCTTAAAGCGCACAAAGAAGTGAATTGCAGGCTTTAAGAGATATTTTCGTGACAGTCGAGATAAATAAATGATGAGATGAAGCACCAAAAGTCTACAAAGGTTCCCTGTCTTTGCATTTTGCGCGGTCTTACCTTGCGCTGCGAGGATCCCCAGCAGGAGGACGGTCGTTATTTGCCCGGAGAAATCCATGGATGCATCTGCGCCTGATGATGCTTTGTTCTGGGTCAAACAAAAATGATGCAGAACAACGAGGCTCTTGTCTCTGATCTGCTCCAAACGTCCGAGAAGCCTTAAGACAAGCGCAACATTTTCCTTTGCGCTCCGCGGAGAGGTCGGTGCGCTTTGCGGACGCGGACAACTTCTGCGCGTCCCGCCTCCCCCATCCCCCCACCCTCCCACTCACACAGTCAGGAGCCACAGTGACTTGACTCAGACTGACTCAGAGAGGATAAGTTTGAGAACAATGAAATAATTTACAGATAAAGTCCCAGGAGCTTCAGGGTTCGTGTCCAAAGATGTATTCCAGAAGATGCGGGTTTGTGTAAATGCGCGCAGAAAAAGAAGGAAACAGACACATCTGAAATGTATGAACCTTAAAGAATCATCCTCAACACATATGCACCACAATAAGAACTCATATTTTCAGTTCTGAGCTGTAAATGGTCTACTTAGTCACTTAATTGATTTTGGAGGCATAACAATACTCAGCAGCCTGAAGCATTAGCTGCTTGAGGGCTGCAGAGTCTGCCCACCTCAAATAATGTAGGGCTATTGATGCACTGCAGCACTGGAGGAGCAAAGGAAAGAGTTCTGAGACATGCAAGTCTCAGATTTAAAGGGAATTCAATTTAGAGGCTATAAAACAATATACGTTGAAAGAAACCCCTTTAATCTGTATTTATAATTCAGTGCTTTATTTTTCTGTAAAAAAAAAAAGTTACAGCAGTGGATTGAACCTTTTTTTCTAAATGTATCTGGTGCAAAACTCATGCACTCAGACATGCACATTATGATTTGTGTTGAGCCAACAAAGAACAGCAGGGATGAACAGGTTTACAGTTTATTGAATTTAAATAAAACCCGTCTTCATGTGCAAAATCAACCGGGTCGTAAATGTCTTCATGTACTTTACACTGTACTGTTAATTAATTATGGAATTTACATTAAAATGCCAACAGTTGCCTGAATTTCATGGTAAAAATACAATGACAATGTATGACACAATCCAATACATATATCTGTCAAAATATACATTTCAGTTTAAAACTGTTTTATAGGGTCAATTATTGTGAAAAAATAATATATTCTGTTCATCTGTTTGTGGTAAACAAACTTTAAACAACATAAAACCTCTAAAATATTTAATTCAGTAAACCTTATTAACAGTGCAACTGAAAAACAAATAGCAGTATTTTATTTAAAACTTTAACCAGTAATGGTTGCCAGAAGCACCGGTTTAAAGTGTTCATAATGTGACACATTGCAGAGAAAACTGATAATTTATGGTCGTATATCAGCAGCTGGGCTATGCCAGAACATCAGTTTAAAATTACTCTGATAATTTCTCTTTTAAACAAACAGCACAAGATGTTTTTGAGTTTATGTTCTGATCTTGTCAAGCTGTGCCTCTGCAGCACGTTCTGATCAAATGCTCGGGATCATCAAGAGGTTTAGGAAATTTAACGTCGGTTGCTGAATATTCTCTTAAAAGTCGGAATACCAAATTGGACTCATGTGCTGTTTAGTGTATCACTTTGCCTTTTGGAAAAAGCCAAAATGTTAAAGATAATTGTTCAGCTTTATGTTTGTTGTTGCGGGTGAAGCATAAAATAATCAGAGGATTTTGGGGGCAAATATAATATTAGTGCTGTAGGATCTGAAAGCGGGGGAATGGGAACAAATAGAAAGATATAATACAGTGGAGAGTGAGTATTCATATTCATCTGCTCACTACAGACTCATGTTAGGACTGCTGTTTAATGTGTTTGTTTGTTTTTCCCTCTGGCTGCTCCCTTCTTTAGGGGTCGCCCCAGCAAACTAAGTCGCACAAAGACTTGGCAATTGTTTTTAAGCCGGATGCCCTTCCTGATGCAACTTTCGGGCCCAAAAATCCGATCCAACCTGGCCCCAGCCCATAGCTATCATTTCTGAACCCTACCTGACCCGACGAATTAACAGTAATTACAGGTCTAACCCCTCCCCAAAAAAAACAAAAAAAACCAGACATTTTTAATTAAGCTTTGACTGCTTATAGTTATTAATGGTTGGCGGACGTGCGGTTGAATAAAAGTGGCAGAAGATCGGAGCTGAGGGGGTGTTTGTCCTTTCATGGCCGTCAAAGCGCATTAAAACCCTGCTTCTGCCTGCATTCTGATTTATTCAGACACAAACCGCTGTGACGTGTCTGCTTTGAGATTTTACCTGTTTGGGTTGTTGGCAGCGCGCGTCCCTGAGTGCAGCGGTTGAATGAACGCCCATTTGGGCGATGGATCGCTTCCTAGCAGTATTGTCCCATCTGAAGCTTAACTGAACTTTATTTTACATCTTTCAAGGTTGGTCAGTTCTGGTGAAATGACCACATGCGGCTGGTGAATGTATGGCAAGCCATGTTGCCATATAATTGGATCGTGGCTGATCTGCTGACGCAATCAAAAACCAGACACCAACCTTGCCCGCACATACAGCACATTATCATGACCCGGCCTGCACCAAATTCGAGTCGGGTCGGTCTGGGCTTCGTGCCCGGGTTAGAAATGACAGCTCTAACCTACACTGACATGTTCACCTTTGTCTGTCAGGAAATATACAGAAACATCATGTTCAGGTTTTTTTATCCTGTTGTTTACAGAAAGCCTAAGGCCCTGTTTACAAAAACACCATTTCTGATGAAAATAGAAAGGTTTTGTTGCATTTGTACTGTTCATTTACACGAAAATAGTGCATGTTTTCTATGACATTAGCACAATTTGAGAACGGGTTGGTTCAAAAATGTCCCAATGTCTGTTGTTGTGTAAACAGAAAAAATAGATATTTTCTGTCAGGGAATCCTTGGCTCATGTGAAGTATGACACAAAGCATAACTACAATCCACAGAAGAAGAGACTATCGACAATGGCGGACACCAGAGTATTGTAGCGATTCTGTGTTTTAGTTCTGCTCGTGTCGTTGTGGTTATGTGTATTAGTTTTGTGTTCATTGTGATCTTTATTGTGATG